GGGGCCCCCAAGAAGTGCCCAAGAGGCATCTAAGACAGCCCGACAGCGCTCCAAGATGCTCAATATTGCTCCAAGACGGCCCAAGAGGCCCCCAAGACGCCCCAAGAGGGCTCCAAGAGCCCCCCCCAGAGGGCCCGAAGATGACAAAATAATTGTTCCAATAGTGTTTGGAATATTTTAGTGTTCTCGCCTTATCTGGCCTTCGACGCTCCAAGACTGCCCAACAGACCCCCAATATCGCCCGTAGACGGCCCAAGAGGCCCCAAAGAGCGCTCCCAGACGGCCCAAGATGGCTCCAAGACGGCTCAAGAGGCCCCCAATACGGCCCGGTAAAGCTCCAAGAAGGTGCCAAGAGAGGCCCCAAAGGGGGAACACGAACCGACTCTTCGAGCCCTTCGCTCCGAGATGGCCCTCGAGAACCGAATCCGAGAAGCTTCCTGGAGACCTCCCACGACATCCCAAGGCATCCCAGAGGTTTCTGACCTACAACCCGAGCACGATGACGGGATGGGCCGAAGGCCATTAGACCTGCTTGGCACGGGGACGGAAAGCGCACTTACTTTCAGAGCGCACGAGATCGCTGGCTCGTCCGCTCTTGCACATCTTATTGACTCCCTTCCCCTCGCTCTTGTCCTATCTCAGCCTCGGAGAGTCGCGGAGCTTTCTTTGAGCGCGCTTCTTGTTTTGGAGGGGGCGGTCGGGTCGCGTTGCGTTTTCCGCGTTTGGGCTGTCAGCTTTCCAGAACCCCGCGTTTTCCTTGCGTGGACCGCTCGTTGTCCACGCGTTGCCGCCCGTCCCTGTGCCCTGGCGTCAAGAACTTATTACGCCGCAGCTCTCTGTTGGAGCTTTGGTCTTATCAGCTCGATTACGTCACCGCTCGCTCTTGGGAGCCGCGGTGCTAAGAGCCTTTGAGAGTATTTTGGGCCTTTTGGGGGGCTCTTGGGGAGCCTCTTGGGTGCCTCTTGGGGACGTTTCTGGGCTTTTCGGGGGCCTCTTGGGGCCACCTGGGAGCTTCCGGGCTGCGGGGGTGAAGGGACTAGGCTGCCTTTGGCCGCCTTTGGGCTCTCTTGGGGGCCTTTTGGGGCCTTCTTGGGGCCGTCCTGGCGCCGTCTTGGGCCGTCTTGGCGCCTCTTGGGCCGTCTCGGCGCCCTCTTCGGCCGTTTTGAGGCCTTCTTGGGGGCCTCTTGGGCCTTCTTGGGGCGCTCTTGGGGGCCTCTTGGTCAGTCTTGGACGCCTCTTGGCCCGTCTTGGCGCCCTCTTGGGCTATTTTGGTGGCCTCTTGGCAACATCTTGGGCCGTTTTGGGGCGGTCTTGGGGGCCTCTTGGACCGTCTTCAACGCCATGAAAAGCGAAAAGGCGCATATGCTAAAAATGCACGTTTTCCCTAAGATAATCAATGATTTTGGCTTCTTGGGGCCCTCTTGGCACGCCTCGTGGGCGCCTCCTGGGGCGTCGTGGAGGCCTCTTGGGACGTCTTGGGGCCGCCTTGGGCGGTCTTGGGCTCTCTTGGAGCGCTCTTGGGCCATCTTGGGCGTTTCTTGGGCCGCCTTGGGCCGTCTTGGGTGCCGTCTTGGCCGCTTCTTGGGCTGTCTGAGGCGCCTACGACGGCCCAAGAAGCGCCCAAGAAGCGTTTTCCGATGATGTCTCGAGCGAAACGCTGTTTTTAAGCCCCGAAGGCCGTCCTACTCGAGAAAAAACGAGGCTGTAGGGCAATTAGATCCGGGCCCGCAGATGCCACCCCCCTCGAACTCCCCCAAGTCCAATTTCTTCCGACTAACGGACCGCACGCTAACGCGCGCTTTCCGTCATCCGCCGCCCCCTGTGGCTTGCCAGAGGGGTGCACGGCGTGCGAGACGTTAGGTAATTGTTCGTCCTTTGTAACTTTCCAGTGGACCTTCGGCCGATCCCGCCAGCCACCCAGAAGAGTGCGTAAACAGATCTCTCACTTCGGATCTCTGCCCCACAAGAATTCCTAGAATTCCCGGGTCGTCGGTCTTCCCGCTACAGACGGCCCCGAGGTGGCTCCCAGGACGGCCAAGATGGTCATCAAGTTGGCTACAATGGCCCCAAGAGAGCCCAAGATGGCCCCAAGATGCTCGCACAAGGGGCCGAGATGGCCCCAAGATGGCCCAAGACGAGTCAAGAGGCCTCCGAGACTGCCCAAGAGGACCTCCAGGAAGGCTCGAAGAGGCCGAACTCATGTATGTTCCTTAGGTTTTTGAGAGATTCTGGCGTTTGCTAATTTTCGGCTTTCCGACGGCCCAAGACGGCCCCGGAGGCCACCAAGATGGCCCCAAGAGCGCCCAAGAGCCTTCCGAGATGGCCCACCGACGACCCAAGAGGCCCCCGTCGTGGGGGCCTCAAGACAGCCCAAGAGGCCCTCACGACGGCCCCCAGGACGGCCCCAGTCAGAGACCTCCTAGACGACCCTGAGGCGCCCAAACAAGGACCCACGACTGCCCAGGGAGGGCCCAAGGCGGGCTCCAAGAGGAGCTCCAGAAGGCTAAAACCATTGATGTCCCTCCCCTTGGTTCTTCAATGATGTTAGCGTGTTCTCGTCTTTTCGGGCTTCCAACGCTCCAAGACGGGCTCATGGGTTCTCAAGATCGCCCCAATGCGGCCCAAGATGCACCCAAGAGGACCACAAGACGACCCAAGAGGGCCCCGAGACAGCTCAACAGGCCCCCAGGACGGCCCCAGAGACCTCCAAGACGGTCCGAGAGCCCTTCAAGAAGGACTCAAAACTGCCCAGGGATGGCCCAACACGGCCTCTGAAGGCCAAGATGCCCCCTAGACGCCCCAAGAGGGCTCCAAAAGGAGCTCCAGGAGGCTAAAATCATTCATGCCCCTGGGATGTTCAAAGATTTAAAAAATTCTCGCCTTTCGGGCTCCCGACATTCCAAGACGGGCACTTCGGCCCACATAATCACCTCAAGAGGCACCCAAGAGGTCCGCAAGATGGCCCAAGAAGGCCCAAGGCAGCCCAAGAGGCCTCCAAGACGGCCACAAGAGGGTCCCAGATACCCCAAGACGGCCCTAAAGCGGGCCCCAAGAAGGCCTCTGAAGGCCAAGAGGTCTCATAGAGGCCCCCAGAGGCACCTAAGAGGTTCCCAAGAGGCCCCAGGACCAAAGCAGCCCCAGGAGTTCCCTGAGAGCTCACTCAGAGCATTCCAAGAGGTTCCCAGGAAGCCCCCAGGAGGCCTCAAGAGGGCCTAAAAAAGCCTTCTCTTCCTCCTTTTCCTCACACTCCTCCTTGTTTCTCTTCCTTTCCCCAGCGTTCTCCCAAGGGGTTCCACAATGGCTGGGGAACACATAGCCCAATAGCTTGGCCAGACTTTGGCCCAACGTTTTGCCGCAAGGGCGTTTCCAAAGGCAGGGGGCGGCGATCATTCGCCGTAGGCGTCTTAGATACCCGTGCGCGTCTTGTCATTGCAAACAATTATGCGTCGCATTGATTGTATGGGGGGCACGAGTCGCCGACATCTGGAGCTGCTAAGGTACCCCAAGGCGTCTGTTGGTCCCAGGGCCATCTGAAAATGTCCGCGGTGCACCTGATGGCAAGCTAATTTCTTATTTGATGTGTCTACTGCACACAGGTTGGGACCAGTAGTGCCGGCCACTGAGGTGAGCACTTGGCGCACCGCGCACCCAAGGCTCACCTAGCACGCCAATCATAGCACGCAGAAGGCACGCACACCACGCCCCCCCCCCCCCCCCCCCCCTGCAGCACACCTGCTGTACTTCCAAGTTCCACTTGCAGCCTGTCCTTTGTTTCGTTTCTTCTGCATGCTGGGAGTTGCCCGATCCCGATGCTCGAATCAAGGTCGAAAGAAGATAATCTTAGACGTTGGCTCGTCACCTGATGCACTGCATCCCCATCGACAGCCTTTTCTCGTCTACTCTCCCAATGGTAGTTTCCCCCCTCGTCTCCCCGTGCCATGCCAATCCTTCGCAATCCTCCCTCTTCCTCCTTGGAACCTCTTCCTGTTCTGGGCGGCTCCACGGGCCGAAACTATTGGCCTGGCTTCTCAAGGTCGTTACAACACTTAAGTCATGTCGGGTGCTCGTCCGGGACCTGTCTTCGACTGGGACACATCTTGGAGCGGCCGGAGGCGGTCAGCGTCATCGAGGAGTACTGGGATCGCTTTAGACGCGTCTATGGTCTACGTATGGACCCGTGCAAGCGCTTGCCGGTCCATACTGGAAGTTGTCTGGGGCAATAGTTGGCTTTGCCTGGGCCCCTCTTCGGACTCTCTGTGACGGGCTTGGGGTTCTCTTGGGCTATCTGTGTTGCCTCTAAAGGCCCTCATTGGTTGCGTTAGGGCACTGTCAGGGCATCTCGGACAATTTTTGTGATCCAGAGGAGGAAAACAATTACTGAACACTCCCCCTCCCCCCGAACTCGAAGTTGGCACGCGCGGGGGAGACTGCTGTCGAGGTGCAACTCATCAGACCCACCGCCAACTGTGAACATTGGGGGGAGGGGGGGAGGCGTTGAATGTGGCATGAGTGTTCGCTATTTTTTTTTCCGAGGCCCGTATCCTAGGCTGTCTTGTGCACATCCTGGTACCCACTTGGGCCGTGTTGGAACACTCTTGGCGCCTTCCTGGTCTCGGGGTCCTTTACTGTCGTCCTCGACCTCTCTTGAGATCCCTGGCGCCTCTCCAAGGGCACCCCTGGAATGCTGAAGCCATCTTGACCTGGAACAGCGTGGATGTTTCCGTGTGTTCTATCTTCCCGAAGGCCTGTTGTGTCTTGGAAGCCGCTGACGACCTGCTGGAGGCTCTTGGGCGTCTGTTGAGGCATTCTTGAGGAGCTGCTGATGTGTCCCTGGGGACCGTCTGTGTCACAGCAGAGCGGCTGGATGGCCTACCATGCTGGCCCGGCAGAACCATGGGAGGCGGGACTGCAAGTGGTTGGAAGGCCTGCGGGGGCGCTACTCTAGCAAGGCGGGTTCGTGTCGTGACGGCACTGGCGCTGGTTTCTGAATTGGACGCCCGAAATGGGTACGATGAAAATGGTCACCATGTCCAACAACAAATGTTGTCCAACAGCGACAGCGGTCGCTGTTGGGCGGGCGGCTTTTTGTCTTCAGTGGACAACGTCTGCGGCGGCGCGGACAGCGAGTCCTGTTCAAAATGAGCAAGAACTGCTGTCGATTGAACACCGCGTGGATCGTCCATGCTTCAACGGTCGCGGCTTTCCGCTAGCGCGGAGCGCTCAATGTCGGCCAATTCTGAACCACCAGCGGCGTTCAGCCTTGACCACCCGCGCCGGAGGTCGCTGCCGCGTCGGCACGTCACGAGCCTGCCGCAGCCTGCGGATGCCTGTGACTCCAGAGCTCCTCTCGTCTCAACCATGCGTCATGCGGCATATCGCCACATGTTTGACGTTGTTGTTGCTGTCGTTGTCGTTGTGGTTGTGGATGTGGTTGTGCTTGTAATTGTTGTTGCTGTGGTGTGTGTGTGTGGGTGGGTGTGGGTGTGCGTGCGTGCGTGCGCTGCTCCCGCTGCAACGTCTGATGGCAATTCTTGCTCGATCGTGTCCCGTCCCTGCGCTCGCGATGGTGCCACCACCTTGCCAGAGAGGGCGAAGTGTGCGTGTGTGTGTGTGTGTGTGCGTATGTGCGTGTGCGCGCATCATGTGAAAATCAGTCTGAGTGCAGTTGCTGGCACGACAGTTTGCATACACGGTTCAGCACTGGCGGGAGAGTAGGGTCTGCAGCGGCGCTCCCCCGACTCCGCAGCCACGTGCCCCAGAGGCCCCACAGAGGGCCGTGCCAGCAGCACGCATCTTGCACTGTACACGCGTCGAGTCCAGGACCAAGGTCACCAAAGCCGCGCAAACGACGTGGTTGGTTGACGGTGCGGTTGGTGATCTGGCTTTGTGACACCACGCAGCACAGGAGGTATGAGCACGGCTTCCTACAATTCAGATGTGCGAACGTATCACGCGAAAACAACACAGCGGGTTGCAGGAAAGCGCGAATAACGCGTTCCTACAACTGGCTTGGCCACGAACCATGTTTCCTACAATCGGTTTTCCTGCACCGCCGTTAGCCTACAGAGACCGTGTGTCTCATGCGATCGTCATGCGGGACCGCCTTGGGCGGCGCCCGGCGCCGCCGTCGGGTCGCTCCCCGGCCCCTGCCCCTGCCGCCCGCCTCGGCCAAACGCCTCCGCCCCTACCACGCCACCGCTGGTGGCTTCCGTCCGCGATTGCCGGGCACGGCTGGTGTCGCCGGGCTCCCCAGCCACCCCTCCTGATTCCCAACCATCCTGTGGTGCTGGGTCCTCGTTTTGAAGAGACAGCGCTCCCCGTTCTTCCTCCTCCTCCTCCTCCTCCTCCTCGCCCCTCCTCCCTACCTGCCTCTGCCCTCTGCGTGTCCACCATTTCATCGCACCCAGTACAACAATTCATGGCACCACAAGGAGCTCCATCGAAGGCTCTGGTGGCAGTCCGCATGGCGTACCCGCGGCCGCTTCGGCACACCCCTCACACGCTTTGTGGCCGCATAGGGAGCCCCACCAAAGGCCCCAGCGGCACACTCCACTGGCGCACCCGCATCCGATTTGGCACACCCCTCACACGTTTCGCCCATAGGGAGCTCCACCGAAGGCCCCAAGGGCACAGTCCGCACGGCGTACCCGCGCCCGATCCGGCGCACCTCTCACAAGGAGCTGCGACGAAGACCCCAAGTGCCACAGTACAGTCCGCACGGCGTACCCGCATCCGATTTGGCACACCCCTCACACGTTTCGTGGCAGCACAAGGAGCTCTACCGAAGGCCCCTGCGGCACAGTCCGCATGGCTTACCCGCATCCGATCTGGCACACCACTGACGCGTTTCGTGGCCCCATAGGTAGCTCCATCGAAGGCCCAAACGGCACAGTCCGCACGGTACCAGCGCCCGCTTCGGCACACCCCTCACACGCTTCATGGCCCTTTCGTGGCCCCATAGGGAGCTCCACCGAACGCCCGTACAGTCCCCACATGGCGTACCCGCGCCCGATCCGGCGCACCTCTCACACGTTTCGTGGCCCCACAGGGATTTCCACCGCATGGCGTACTCGCAGACGAGTCGGCACAGCCCTCAAACGATTCGTGACCCCATAGGGAGTTCCACCGAAGGCCCTAGCGGCACAGTCCGCATGGCGTACCCGCACCTGAGCTGGCACACCCCTCACACGTTTCGTGGTCCTATAGGGAGCTCCGGCGCAGGGTCCAGTGGCAGCGCCCGCATGGCGGCCCCGCCCCACCTCGGAACACCCTTCACACGCTTCGTGGTCCCATAAGCAGATCCACCGAAGGCGGTGCCCACAACGACGGCACTCACAACTGCACATGGTCGGTCCTTCGCCAGGATAGTTCATCTTCTCCTCGTCCTTTCTGGCTCCTCTCCTCTGCCGTGCCCGTTCGATTGCCTGGGGGTCTCTCTCTGCCCTTCTCTGCCTTCCCGCGCTGACTCGACCTGCCTGTCTGTGGCGTCTTGCGTGTTACAGCTCCTTCGCAGTCGCCTGGGTGCCCAGCCACCCCTCCGCCCCCTTGCTGCTCCTCCCCCTTTCTGGTCCCCTGCCTTAGGTCGGGCATGTCCCCCTACAGGTACAGGCCGATTTTGGACGAAACATAAAAAATAGTTAAACAATGCTCCCCAAACAATCATACATAAATCGCCCCCTGACGAAATTCCCAAGATTTTTGCAGATTAGAAGGACACGCACGACTTCACCCCTGCCTTTGCCTCGCCCGTTCTCATGCCTGGCGGCCTCTTGGCTCGCCGGCCTCGCCTTCTTCGCTCACCTTGGTGAGCCCGGCACTGGAGCCTCGCTTCCTCCCGGAGTAGGAGGGGGAGGAATCGTTCGGCCGCTCGTCCGCTCCGTTCCTTCGTCTTTTCCGCTTGACTGCCGGGTCGCCGCTGCGCGCATCCGGGAGTATCGCCTTACCACGCTGCATCACAAGGAAAACATAATCTGTACCGACGTGTTCCGTGGCAGTGTCCGCCGATTGGGTCCTTCGGCGCGCCGAAGGAAAAGTGTGTGTGTGTGTGCGTGTGCGTGTGCGCGTGCGCTTCCACAGTGACAATCAAACGCGTCTGCATACACACATATATGTTTTTCAATGCATGTGCAAACAAAACGAGCGGATATGCTCCCAGACGCCCGACAGCGGCCCCCCCGGTGACCCGAGCCCGGGAACGACTAGGGCCACAGTCAAAATCGAACACAAGGGCGTAAATGAGAATGCAAGGCGCATAGAAAATGCTGAATGTTCTACCACGGACGCCAAATATGCAAAGGAAGCTCAGCAACGATGGATGCGATGGTTCCTTTCTTTCTGGGCTCATCCTTATCGACGAGTTTGGCTGTGCTGGCCTGCACACGTTGCGCCATGCAGCCGCAGCAGAGAAGGCGCCGAAGCGCCGACGCTGCAAAACGGGGCGAGTGGAGTGCATCGAAACCGCATGGAACAGTTCACGTCCATCAAAGTCTGCCCTCTGCCCCAGCCAACCTCGGTCGCAGGCCGCGTCCTGCGCCTTCTGCGCCAGCCGATTGGCCTGCCGCTGTCTCCCAGGGCCCGTCAAGGAGGGAGGGAAGGCAGGGGACGGAAGCAAGTGGATGCGAGGAGGAGATAATTAGAAGCGGGTTGATTGCGCTTGGACGCGACGCACCTCGACATCAGGCCAGAATCAGACCTGGCACGACAAAAGAATCAGTGTCGCTGTCACCACGCTTTGGAAATCGACGACCGTCGGCTGGGTAGTTATTCGGCTCCGTGTCAACGTGGTTGCTCTGGACATGAGGAGGAGGAGGAGGAGGAGGAGGAGGAGGAGGAGGAGGAGGATCAAATCCAACACGGCTCAGCACGTCTAACTGATGTTTCGGTGCAACCTCCCGTCCCGAGTCCCCTCCTCATGTGCACGTGCAGGGAGTCAGTCGTTTTTCATCTAAACGAGAACCCGCTGGCAAGGTGGCAACCATGCGGAGTTGTCACAGGCTCAAGACGTGGGAGGGCTGGAAGGGAGTGATGGGAAGCCGCTCGCCCTGCCGCAGGGTCGGGACCCAGAAGGCTGGCGCGGTGACGAAACGACAGCCCTACCACAGGACGCGGCCCTGGCCCCAGCAGCGGTTGCACTACAGTGGGGGCCCGACCATAAGAAACCTCCCACAAGAAACCCAACCCGGAGATCCCAGGACGTCCATGGATTTTTGGTGCGGGAACGCCGCGCTCTCCATCGCAAAACCATCGAGACCCAGGAAACCCGGGGCACCCTGGAGGCAAGCAGAGTGCCTCTTGGCACGGGCCCCCACTGCAAGGGCTTCTCCCCGTGCCCCTCCGCAGCTGGCTGCCAGGTTCTCCGACTCACTGGCCGGTCGCCGCCCGTGGCCGCCTCCCCCCGAAGGTCGCCCGCCCACGTCAGTCCAACGAGAGGTCACCTTTGGGTTTAAGTCGGGCATGGCCCTCCGCAGTAGGAATATCAAACAATAGTCCCAACAAACATCTGGGAACGATTTCTCGACTATGTTTGGCCATGCCAGTATATCTGTTTGAAGATGTTCTACTTTTCCTCCCAAATCCACCCGTAGGAGGACATGCCCGACCTAACTTTCGGTGTGGCTGGTCGATCCTCCCTGTCCTCCGCGAGGCGGGCGGCGGCGGCAGGTCTGCGCGTCCACTGGGCAACCCCTCGGCGCGCGTGGTGGAGGCTGAGCAGGGCCGCAGGAGGAGCTCAGAGATGTGATAACGGGGGCCACAAGGGTGCCCAACCCCTCCGGGCGCCCGGGTCTGGCCGAATACGGCGCGCTCCCCTGAGGGCGCTGGCTGCAACCTTCCAAAGGCGACGGACCTCGGTCAAGATTCCCATCAGAGCCCACGTTGGGGTGGAGGTGGCAACGCACTCCTCTTGGTCGGCGAACGCGGGCGGCACACGTTCTGCGCCGGAGAAGCGGGGGCGCACGCGCACAGGCGAAGTCGAGGCCCACGCATGGGAGGAGCGAGTTGGCGAGAGAAAGCAGCCGCAGAGGCACGCGCAGAGAGCAAGGCCCACGCGCGCGGCCAGCGCGTCGCCCGTGGGCACACGGCGCACCTGCCTGCGGCCGCGACCAGCCTCGGCGCGTCCACCCAGGCGGCCGCACGAGCCAAGGGCCGAGCGGAATGGCTTCAAGCCGGGGAGGAAGCAGCTCCACGAGGACTGCGCTCCAGCCTCCCGGCGCGGGGCAGCTTCCCGTCGCGGTGCCGCCTCCCTCGCCCACGGCCTCGTGCTGGAGGATCACCGAGCACTGAAGAGACAAGCGCGTCAGCACCTCTATTCTGCACGCGATCTTGCCGAACATGTTCAACCAGAGCTGTCCAGCGCAATCTTCGCATCTCGCGCGGATGATCGTGTCCAGTCTCCTAGTGCTTCAAAGCCCCTGGCTGCGCCCCAGTCCAAGAAAATAACTCGACCCCTCGCGAAGTAAGATCATCTCATGGACCACCTTGTGGCCAACAAACAATTATCCATATCCTTTGCTCTCCACGCCACGACTTGGTCGAAATCTGGCGACTCAGACGCTGGTGTGAGTGTGCGCCTCGGTAGAAAGTTCGGCTGCAAATTCAACGGCACTATTTTTTGCAAACGAATATTGAATTGGCCACCTCCTATTTCGTAAGCGCTAGGGTGGTTCTAAGTGCTCGTCCATGCGGCAACGAATTCACCTCCTCCGATGAGCCCTGTGAATACGGGCCCCACCATCCCAGCCGTAAATGACACCTTCGTCGACGACAAGTGCCTGTCAACGCCAGCCCGCTATCCAGCAACGCTGCACGAAAGCATCGGCGTCTCTTTGTTTTGCGGCATCTTCCGTCTACGAACTCCGCTTTGAGATCAACCAGAAGCCTGTGACAAACGAGCGTAGCTGGATAATACGCGAAGGCTAGAAGCATCCTCCCATCCTCAAAGTCGTCGGGTCGACCCTGTAGGTGCCGTAGCTGGTCGCATCTTCGATTCCTAGGCGCGCAGCGCCCTGAGCCACGGACACTGGTGGCACTGACGTCTCTGAACCTCGTGCTCGAATTCGCGCTGCCTCCGAGTCCTCTGGGCAATCGCGGTCTCGAGTATCCTTGTGGTCCTGACGTCCTCTCGCACGACCGGACAGCGTCTCTCATCCTGCCTGGCCCGCCACTATATCATTTTCTAAGGAGATAAGTCTTGCTGCGCTCGCAGCTCAACCCGATGATGGTACCTGGGAACTTGGAGATGCATTCTGGTCTGCGTGGCTGGGGCCGCGGTTGGCATGTTTGAAGCCTCTGTCCGGTGCCTGTCTTTCTCGGCGAACTCGTCTCGTGCCTGTTTCGGTCGCCCAAGTATGGAGTACGGCCTGCTAAACTAGAAACCTGGCTGACCAACCGCCCCAACCACCATAGACCCCCAGAGGGGCAGCTCAGCCTTTTCGACAATTGACTCAGAACGCCTGTGGCGCATCACCACCTTTGCTCATCCCTGTCGGACCTCCTGTCGTGTATCGCTGAATTGCTTAGAACCACATTCGCTTGATCAGCTCAATTGGTCCAAGCAGGTGAATTACACCCTTCATCCAAATCTCCATTTTCGATGCCTCCAGTCAAATCACCAAACGCGATCGATGCCTGGCCGCTTTTCCACTGACCGCAGTACTGATCCTGCAGTGCGGGTGGAGTGTGCCTGGTCCGTGGGACGTAGCTTAAACCTCGCACCAGACGTGTTGCGCACCTGTGCACGGGCCGCATTGCGTGCTGGGATGCCTCCTTCCATGTGCTTGCCCGTCCTGCCGGGGCCTTTCTGCAACTGCTGGGCGGCGTCTGCACGAACTCGGTGCCGGTGCGAGGATACCGTCCCAAGAGCAAAGAAGTTCGAGCCCGCACCAGGCAGGCCCACGCCGGGCGAGTGGCGCTCCACGCAGGTGGCTTCACCAATACGGTGATGGCATTGGACAAGGAAACCTTTGACAAGGAATCCAGGGTCTGGAAGCCAGTGGAAAGCCATTCGTGGATTGGCCATGGATATCACCGTTACCCTCATCAGATAAGGAAACCTCCAGGGTCTGACGCCTCCTGGACACGTTCCTTCACGAACGCCCCCACCGTACCCCCTGCGCTCATCCCCAGCTGGCCCCGTCCCTGCTCGTATTGATCGTTGGACGGCGGAGCCTCGCTAGGGCTCCATCGTCGACTTTTCCTGGCCGGGGCAGAAGCAGGAAGAGCTCCAGGATGGGCCTGCGCAGACACTCGACCGTGATCGTTACCCGCCGGGCGAGAGAGGGCAGACGATAGAAGGGGGCAAGGCCTCCACTCGTCGCACGATCCAGCGAAGGGGATCGGCACCCGCACTCACCATGCCGCACGGGAGCGCACCAGTGGGGACCAGGAGGGCACAAAAGGGCAACCGCTCAATCGGCCCAAGCGTTTCCAGCGTTGCCCGCGTGGCGCCCACGAGCAGCCGCTGCCCGGGGCGCCTGATCGCACCCACCCGCGCGGTCGAGCCGCGCTGCCGCGACGCCACCCGAAGCCCGCCACCGGCCCCCGCGAGGCGCGCGAGTGCCTGCTGCTCTGGGCGTGAGCGCCGCGCGGGGAGGCCCGCGGCTGCCACGGCTCAGCACCAAACTGATGCAGCCCCAGAAGTTGCTGCGGCGGGCAGCGGGTACAGCCAAGGCACAGCTGCGGCGGCTCCAGCGTGCCTCCAGATCTGGCCAGCATGAGCGGGAGGAACAAGAGGGACAAGGGGGATGAGGGAGGGAGCAGGCAGATGAGGAGCACGAGGAGCCCGACTCTCGGCTCCAAACACCATGCAGCTGGGAAGTGTGAATCCCAGAGGCACATTGCGCGGTCGACAATGTTGTCAGATTGCACTCTACCGCTGTGCTCCCAACATTTGTATCGCGTCCATTGTCTTTCACCATCCCAAATTCGACCATCATGATCTTCCGTCTCGTCACCCTGCTGCTTCCACGACCATCACTTCTCCACCCTGCCATTTCGCTCGCCCCCCTCTATGTCGTGCCGCTGGAGCAATGCGTCCAGGCGGCGGCGCGCCTTCTTCGAGGCTTCAGTTGCTCGAGCATACCACTGCTCGAACACCTCTTCACAGCAAAGCGGCCAGGATGCTCGTGCGCAAAAAAAGATGTGTAACAACAAGGGGGCTGATGGATGAAAGGCTGGAGGCGGGGCGGGCGGGGTGTAGGGATCGATGATGGCGAAGAGAGCGGAAAGTAACAGGAGTGATAACAGATGGTATGGCTAGACATCAACACAGCCGCACTTTGCTGACTTGCTAATCCAAGCATCAAGCCTATCAGTAGCTGAAAATATGTCAGGAAGCCCGCCGTGACATTCAGAGCCTGTGTCCTGTACCGTTCCGCGCTCGCTTCGTGATCCTGACTTTTGTCATTTGCACTCCCTCCTCCCCCTTTTGCAAGAGCCTACCGTACGCAGCACGCAAACTGAACACGCGCGAAACCAAGCCTGAGAACGCTCGAAGACGTGCCTGGGGCCCAGGATCACACGGACCCCAAGGCAAGGCACACCACAACGGGGGCCTCCACCTCTGCAGGGGTCGTCCTCTCGGCAAGGAAATGCAACTCCAGAATCTCTGAGATCCAGCGGATCCGAAAGATGCAGCGTTCCGGAACGCTCTGGAACAGATTTATCCTCGCCCTAGCCACATCCGAAGGAAGGCGAGGTGAGAAGACGGAGGGGTCGGGGGAGGGCCGGCACACCGAATCCTGCCCTCGAGGGGGCTCCCTTGGCAGGGCAGCACAGCCCCTGTAAGCATGGCCTGCTGGGGCCACTGCCTGCCAGAAAAAAACGGCAGTGCTTTCATGACAACCAGCGGTCCGTGCGAGCTCCTGGGGGGGGGCATGGGCGCCACACGCCTCAGGAGCATGTCTGGCATGTATGTTCGCAGATATCCAGGCGCCCATAGTTGGGGAATCTCTGCAAGAGGCTGCAGGACGGCCAAATGGCCAAATAAGAAAGATATTTTTTCTGCTGGTCATGACCTGTACTCCAAGGAAATATTGACTGCACACTAGGTTTCCCTACAGTGTGCACCCCAATCTCACCAGGCGTTATAGCCTTTCCCGCCGCCTTTCCCACCGCCCCAGCCGCCTCCACCGCCGCCGCCCCAACCACCGCCTCCACCACCGCCGCCTGTCTTCCAGGGACCGTCGCAAGACGAGGCTGAGTACTTGCCCTTGCGGTCGTCCCACTCCACCTCGTACGTGACGGAGTCGCCCTCTTCCAAATACGCGGTGCGATCTTGGCCATCCCCATGCACTTTGCGATGCACAAACACGTCGTCGCTACCGTCGTCAGGAGTGATGAAGCCGAATCCCTTGTCCTCGAAGAACTTCTTGATCTTCCCCGACGGCATGATTGACGCTGGGCCCGAAACAAAAAAAACTAGCCGCGCCCACCCGAGCAGCTCACCCTGAGTCGAGGCTGCTTCGGCCCGAGTCAAAACGGCTACGGACATCGAGAGCGGATGTAAGACCGAGATACTGCCCCCAGGGACGGAGACGGGACCGATTGAAAAACGATTGCCAGAGACGTGCCCATCCCCTTCTCCACGCACAACGGCTATGAAAAGGAACACTCTTTACAAACGTACGCTTTGAGAGACATACAACACTCTTGCGCACGCAAATACCGACAAATGTGCAAATAACAGCCTCGCCGTGAACCGTGAAGTCTCCTCTTGGTGCGCGTGCCCTCCGACTCCGCTAGGCCTTCCGGGAGCCCACGAAAGTGATGACATGACAGTTGCGCAGTTCGCAACCGCCCAGGGAGCAGCGAGGTCCCGTCTGGGTGCGCGTGCCCACGACTCCGCTGAACCTCCGAGGAGCCCGCGAACGTGGCGACAGTTGCGCAGTTCGCAGCCTCCCAGCGAGCAGCGAGGTTCCTGTCTGGGTGCACGTGGCCCCCAGCTCCGCTGGACCACCCATGAGGTCACGAAAGTGGCGACAAAAGCGCAGTTTGCAACCACCCAGGGAGCAGCGAGGTCCCGTCTGCGTGCGCGTGGCCCCACAGTTGCGCATCTCTTGGGCGAAGGGCCCAGAAGCCCTCCCTCTGCCTTTTCTTGTATCGCCTTCCTTTTTTCTCCTGCTGCTGGTTCCTCTCGTCCTTGTCCTCGAGCTCGCCCTCGTCCTTTTCCTCTGTGCCGTTCTCATCCGCATGCTCGGGCTCCTGCTCAGCCAGCGTGCTCCCTGGCACATTGAGGCCTTGGATGTCGTCGTCGATGTTTCTGATCGCTCTTGGACCGTCTGGGACCATGTGGAGCTTCGGGGAAGCAACTCGGAGCGCTCCTGGAACGCTTTTGGGGCCGTTTTCGGAGCCCTCTTGGTCCGTCTTGGACGCCTGTTGGCCCATCTTGGGCCCTCTAGGGGTCTGTGGGGGACCCTCTGCGAGGCTTCCGGGGCCGTCTGGGAGCGGGTTTGGGAGCCTCTTGGGCCGTCGGGGAGCATCGGAAAGATCCAAAGCTGATTTTTTTAAATGTACATTTCACGAAGGGAATGGCCCAATTTTGGCGTCTAGGGACCCTTGTGGAACGCATCTCGGAGGCCCTCGGGGGAGCTCGTGGGGACCTCTTCTGCCGTCGAGGACGCCTCGTGGCCCGTCTTCGGGCAAACTTGGACGTCTTGGAGCGCTCGTGGGGCGTCCCAAACCCATTTCGAGGCCACCAGACGCGTCCCTACACGAATTTCAAGTGTTTATCCACGTTTTTCGGGAGCGGATGAAACCTCCGGGGGGTTCCGGCCCGTCCGGCCGGACCCCCCCCCCCCCCTCCAAATGGACCGGACCGGGCTCCCGGGGGAGGGGTTTGGGGAGGGGGAACATCTCACACGCCGATGAACCCCAAGGGGTCGGCGGATTATTTCTTATACGCCACTAGCTCGCGGATGCTGATTCAGATGTTTGAATCATGGCACGAAATTGTTAGGAGTCCGAAGTGCGTTGTGCATGTGAAAGACTGTTACTGGATGACAACCGCAGCGGACGATTCAACCGGCATTGTTTTGGAGAGTTTTCGGATACCCAGGATATCTCGGAATGAGGTTTTTAGGTGTTTGGGAGCGTGGATCACTATGGACCACAATGCGACGAAATGTGTCCAACGCATGTTGTCTAGAGGGTGGGCGGCCTTTACGCGCCACCGAGCGGTGCTGTGTGCCAAGCAGGGGAAGCTGGCACGAAGATTGCAACTGTTGGAAAGTTTTGTGAAAAATGCGGCGTTATTTTGTGCAGGCAGCCTCTTGTACACTAGGCGACAGCTCAGACAGTTCAAGATCATGCACTGCCGTATGATTAGACAGATGTTAGGGCTTCGGAAAGCCCCAGATGAAGCGGTTCCTGATTTTCAGAGAAGGGTGAATAGGACAATCCAAGATACTACTGATCGGCATGAAGTGGTGACTTGGGACAGATTTGTACTCTTTCAGACGCACAAATGGGCGGGACATGCCGCCAGAATGCGCAGGTACGGCCCGACACGTGTATTGCCGCAGGCTCTAGCCTACAAGGATAGGTCCTACCTCGACCTTATAGTGCGCGCGACAGGCAATCAAGGACGCGGGCGGAAGATCCACGCCTGGAGATGGGAAGACCCTTTCTTTTTGTATTATGGATTGCAGTGGAGGGAGGTTTGTGATGATCAGGAGAGGTGGAATGATACGGCGGGAGAGTGGGTGGAGTGGAGGTTGCATGTGTGGGGCGCCAGGCAGCACAAAAGACAGAGGATCGCGGACGGCCAGGTATAGTGGCAAGTGCTACCTGGTAGGGGTGCTTGAAAGTCTCTCCATGGCGTCCCAAGGTTGATAAGACGGCCACGGGACGCCACCAATGCTGCCGACATGGCCACGACATCAAGACGCACCTGACGGCCCGCACTCAAGACACCCTCGAGACGCTGTCCAGGAAGTATGGTCAATGGTTTTAGCTGTCCGCGCTACTTGATCAAAGATCAGTCGACTTGCGGTTTTCGAAAGCCCGAACGGGCCAACTGATCGCCCTATGAGAACCCCCAAACAACTCAGAACGGTCTCCACAAAGCCCCAAACTGGCCGAAGGCCTCCTGGAGAACCCAAGACCGGACAGGAGAACTCCCAGACGAAGCAAGTTGGCCCCACGACGGTCCCAACACTGCTTCAAGAGAGGCCAGGACGGCTAGAGGGCCTCAAGACCGCCAATGAAGGCCCCGACGCACCCCGAAGACTACCCCACAGGAGCGAAGGACACCAGCACGGCCCAAGAGATGCCCCCCAAAAAAGAAGACGAGATGTGTTACAGGTGACGGCCTTGCGGGCAGTGCTCGAAGGGTCGGCGCACAGCGTGCTGCGCTGGCACGGTGGCGGAGTTGGCCGCAGGCACCTGGGTACTATTCAGTATCCTGCTCTCGCGTCTGCTTACTTCTCCTGCCCTCCATCCTACTCCTACCCACTACCATATTGTTGCGACTGCTCCTCCTGCCTAACCTTCCTGCTTCTCCCCCCACATTATCAGGTCAAGACGGAACCCGTGCAGCCGCCATCTCACGATAACCACAGCCTGAACACACATTTCTCACTAAGCATGAACAAACGAACATACCAAATGAGTGTCTGGAATCACGCAAACCCCACGACAACGCAAACCCTGAAAGGGGCCGCACGCTTGGCAATGAGAGACGCAAAGGCACAATTGCATTACATATGTCGGCGCATGAACCAACAGCAGTACATGTTCCGAGCGATGTGTGTAGAACCACAACCAGGGATCCATGACAAGGCAGGATGAGATCGGAGGCCTAGCAACAATAAGAAGCATCACGGCGTAGAAGAAACAACCGTAGGATGACAAACAGTCAATAGATCCAGCGCCAAAATAGGCCAAGCACCCACGGCCAGATCTGCCACAGGAGGCCAACCATCCACGGACCGACCTGCCACAGAGGGCCAGTTTCTCAGCGCAAGAGCCTCTAGCCCCTAAGTGGGAGCACTGCTTGGGAACACACACTAGGGCCAGTTGGGCAAGAGGCTCTAGGAAAGCCGTATGGAAGCCTTAGGTAATGCGGAGGCGGCCACGACATACGAGGCCACATGAAGCTAAGTACCTACGGCGGACCCCAAGCACAAGACCAGCAGATCGGAAGGCAATGGGTAGGCATGTTGCAAAAATAAGACGCTAACCCAGACGACTCCTTTGGAGACGAAGCGCCTCTGGCCAGTCCCTGGACCCATGGACAATGGAGCAGGATGCCGTGGGTAGTCACAGGTAAACAACACTAGACCAAGCCACGAAAAGCAACACACCTACGGCCGACGCCAGGACGCATGAACCGTGGAGCGATAGGCCTAAGGGACGACGTGGGGAAACCATGAGAAGAGGTCAGGCCATACGAGGTCATGGGAAGCTGAGCACATACGGTTGACGCCAGGACATGGGGGCCCGTGGAGCGCGATATCATGTGCAAGCGCCAAGCAATACGAGGCCACAGGAGGCCAAGCACCTACGGCCGACCCCAGGAAACAAGGACAGTGGGGCGGGAGGTCACGAGGAGATCATGAGAGGTCAAGTCAAGATCAATATGGCTACCTGAGCACCTACGGCCGACCTAAGGCCACAGTGTTAATGGAGCGGGATGCCTTAGGAGAGCCATAAGGAACCCATGAGGCCACACAACAGGAGGCCATGCTAGGATAACCTAGCATGGCCAAATCAAAACAATTCGTAGGGGGCCATATGAGGTCAAGCATCCACGGAAGACCCTGAGGCAAGTGGAGTAGGATGCAATCGGAGAGCCATACGGATGACCACAGGAGGTCAAGCCGTACGAGGTCATAGGATGCCAAGCATATGCGGACGATCCCAGGACGAAGGGCCAATTGAACGGGAAATCACAAGGAAGTCACGAGGGAACCGAGAACCGACCCCAAGACACAAACCTGGCCCACATATAAAACACACAGTAAGTCGTGTGCGCATAAGCTGCTTGCGGTATCCGCCAGCGTGCCCTTGAGGCACGAATTGGAGCGTGCTCAGGTCCCTTCTTGGATCCGCTGGAGCCCCAGTCCTCATATAATCCCGAAGACTCTCACAAACCTCTCGGGCCGCGCCGCGTGCCCCCTGGGCCC